AAAGAAGTGATAAACAGACCTATTATTTCATAATGTGACATGTTCTTTTACAAAAAATGAGCGAAAAAACATAAGATGTCGTACAACAAACATAAAAAAAGTCAATATAATTACTATCATGTACAGGCAATCTCTGGTTGATGTTTATATCATGCTCTCGGACAAAAGTCTCTCTCCGCTTTGTTTCTGTGCTTTCATATTTTACATCAAATTTATTGCTAAGTAGAGATAAGACATAAGAGTTGGATTTTATTGTGATCTGTACATCATACTCAAATACAACACTCATGTTATATCTTTACTTGGTAATAAATTTGACGCAAATTGTGATACCATAAAAGCAAAGTGAGGAAAGACTTTCACCCGGGAGCGTATATACAGTAGTGCGTAAAATTATAGCGCCAGTCTATACTTCTGAATTCTTTCGCTTCGCTCGCTACCAACAGTGGTACTATCGACGAGCCCTCGTGTGAATTTTGTGGAGTACATCGCTCTCTCTTAGTATCCGCATTCGATCTCTGTCCCTTGTCTAGGGTAAGCGAGGAAATAACTTCCTTGCAAAAATCAGTAATTTTTTATCTCTTCGAAAATATAGACTCAGATGTCATTTTACGAAGCAAAACACTCGAAAGTCTCTCAATATTTACTCATTGTTCTTCCATTCACTATTTGACATTGTTTGGGTTGTCGAGGCATCGAGTCAATCAGGTTTTTACAGGTGTTTGCACCAAAATCCTCTCACAGTGTCTTAATTATCGCCTGCAACTCTACCAAAGCCTTTGAATGCATTTTGTGGATTCTTTCATCGATCATATCTCATAGGTTTTCGATTGGGTTGAGATCTGGTGAGGAAGGAGGCCACGCCAAAACCAGAATATTGTTTCTTTCTAACCATTTCATCGCGAATTTCGACTTGTAAGGAGGAGCACTGTCTTTCATGTATAGCCATTTGTCGCTTTTCTTGTTAAGGACAGCTCGAATAAATCGTGGCGGGACATCACCGATGATTCTGGATATACGTCAGGCCATTCATCCTTACCTTCGTTATAACTTTTGTAACTTGGTATTCTCCTTATAATAAAATGAATAAAAATATTTGGAAAAAGCCATGTTATAACCCTAAACGAAATATTTCTATATGCATTTAGTACTCATAAGAACAGTATATCATATGTATTTCTTTGTGTATTTTGTTTTAGATAGCTTAAATCATAATTAATAAATCGTCGGAGTCATCAGGATATTCGATTAATTTAATAACACACACAATTTTCATACGAATTGGTAAGTTATGTATTTTCTAGCGTTTAATATATGCTCTCGATGCAATCCGGATTAGTTTTCAGTCATGAAATATGATAGATCCGTTCATTATTGACAACAAATCATAGACTCACCGCCCCATTCTCTCGTCGAAAGATATAGTTTGTAAAGATCCGGAGGTTTCAATATGACATCGGCTTCAGTTCCTCTCCAGACCTTCCTTGTTGCGCGATATTTCACGGTAGCACCAATTCCATCGACAGCACCTTTCCCATGCCCGGCGGCATTGAATGACCGCGATGCCGGAATTTCGAAATCTGTCTCACGGTCAGTCAGATTCAGGATGCCCTTGTTATTGTTGAAGTGATGAGGAGCGCCATCGTAGAGGCATACTTCAGCCGCTTCACTGTTGGATGTGGAGAAAAGAGTCATAGGGTTAGTTTCTAGATGAGATTGTGGGGAAAGGGCTCAGTGAGCATACGTTCTCCCAAGACTGACCGCTTTATCTACCGGCATCGCCTTATGAAGGCTTAGCTCCCATAGTTTCCCCCCAGTTTTACCCCC